CCCAGGTCAGGCGCTTCTGCCGCTGTTTCTGGTTCAAAAGTGGCTTGACCTGGGGAATGCGGCACCTGTAGCCCATTTCCTGCACACGCCTGTGCACGGTGGCTCTGGATGTTTCTACTCCAGACTCAGTCCACTGCTTCCGCAGGTCCCCCAAGGTCTGGAATCGGCCCTTCTCCACAATCCTCCTCAGGGTCCGGTCACCTCTTCTCGTTGTGCAGCGTTTTCTGCCACACTTTTCCCTTCCCACAGACTTCCCACTGAGGTGCCTTGATACAGCACTCTGGGAACAGCCTATTCGTTCAGCAATTTCTTTCTGTGTCTTACCCTCTTGCTTGAGGGTGTCAATGATGGCCTTCTGGACAGCAGTCAGGTCGGCAGTCTTACCCATGATTGTGGTTTTGAGTAATGAACAAGGCTGGGAGTTTTTAAAAGCCTCAGGAATCTTTTGCAGGTGTTTAGAGTTACGTCGTTGATTCAGATGGTTAGGTTAATAGCTTGTTTAGAGAACCTTTTCATGATATGCTCATTTTTTGGGACAGGCATTTTGGGTTTTCATGAGCTGTATGCCATAATCATCAGTATTAAAACAATTAAAGACCTGAAATATTTCAGTTGGTGTGCAATGAATCTGAAATATATGAAAGTTTCATTTTTATCATTACATTATGGAAAATAATGACCTTTATCACAATATGCTCATTTTTTGAGAAGGACCTGTAGCATGTTAGATCACACTGTTTAATATAAAATGGTATTTTTATTAAAGTTACATGATGATGTCTTTCACCGCCATGCCTTGTTAGCACTAAGGCTAATCTCAGGACTAATCTCATTATTCTGCAGCAACACAGAGCATATGGTGGAGCTCAAAGGGAGGTGTGACATCAGGTGTCTGCTCCCATTCAAACATCTCACCACAGGTAGATGTTTCTGCAACAGAAACAAACTGCTGCTTCTGACATGGAGGGGCAGAGATCATGTTGTCCACAGGGTGAATAAAAGTTTGGGATTATCATCTGAATGTGACCTCTGTAATCTAGTGAAGGCGGAAATCCCAACAAATTCCACAGATGACCTCCTCCCTCACAGACCTGAACCTGCAGCCCAGGACCAGACTGAGCTCTTAAAATACCTTCCAGACCAAACCAGAGCAGCGCCACGCTTCAAATACTTCACTGGAGAAGAAGAATGTCAAATAACCTCCAACCTTTTCCTTCAACCGTTGTTTCTACAGGTTGGTCCCAGTGAGTTTACAGAGACCTGGTTCAAAGAGTCATCAACAACATCAACAACAACAACAACAACAACAACCAGCAGCTCTAAAGTCATACAGGTTTATGTTTCTTTAAAACCTCAATAGTGGAGGTTGTAGGAACGTGATGTTCGTGTTTTGGAAGTCCCTCGTGTCAGTCTGAAGGCTGAGCTCGGGTTTTACCTTCTCATAGTCCCGGTTGTCCCGCTGGCCCGCGCGCGGCAGGACTCTCACGCGCTCATACGAAGCTAACGGCACTTTGGTGCGAGGATCTACCGGTGTTTTCAAACACGAAGTAACCAGCACGTTCGTCCGGTGAGCTTCCGCCATGTTTCCGTCCAAAGCAAATACTGTACAGTGTAAGAAGAAATGTGTATGGCGCGAGCTGAGTCGGTATCTAGGCAACGGAGGGCGGCTACTTAGCAACAAGAAAAAAGAAGCTTGGTAAAAAGGAAGTGACGCAGCAAGATGGGAAATAAAAGGGCGTGGCTATTGAACAAAGGAAATGACGCAGTGAAACAAAAGTCAGGAAGGCGGGTTATGTTTTGTAACCTGAACGTTATATTAGACCCAAGCTCCTAGCGTTATTTATTTATTCCTTTTTCTGTGTTCGGTTCGTTGTGTTTATATATTCTGATTGACATGTTTAACAATTTGTCCTTTTTTTGATGTGAACCTTGTTTTGTAAACTGTAAATTTGCAAATAAAGTTTAAAAAAATTATTTTTGTACCCTTGTGTTTGCGTGTCTGATACTTCATGAGACAAAAAATAAATCACAAAGTTTCAAAAAGTATTTATTATGTTACAACTTTTGGAATCACCTGGATTCAAAATGGCCGCCACAGCCCACTGACTTTAGCAAGCACAAACATGGCTATAATGTAGTCAGTTTAACAGAGATGATGGAGCCGAGTCATCCAGAACACGTAATCCAACAGCCACTCTATGTGCATACAATGTTGGCATTACTGTTGTAGTGGACTCTGTGTTAGCAAAACTTTTCATGAACCGGTGGAAGGATGTTAATGACATCACCAGCTCACTGGGTTTCTACTCTGGGAGTGCTGTTTGTGGGTTCACAGGGCTGGGATTGAAGAAGTCAATCTACCTTTATGAGACAGGTTAATCCCACTGAGCCTCGGGGACTCCTTTACAAGAGACACCTGATTTAACAAAGAGTGATGTCATCATAATAAACTGTCCAGATGTCCTGACTGAACATTGCTGGATTAGTACCTGGATTACTGAGCATGAATCTAGAACTAGTGTAATTCAGATTAGCCGACACAAGAATAGTTTAAAGAAAGTCTTTACAGAGTTTGGTGTGGGAGCAGCGCCTCTCAGTAACTCTCTGCATCGCTCAAAACTTTCCAGGTTGTTCCAAACTGTCACATCAGATGACCTCAACCCACTCTGAACAAAGGCAGCTGGTCACTTTACTTCAAGCATAAGAAACGAACATGGCGCAGCTTCAGCAAGCAGGTCACTGGTTTGAATCCCAGCCAGCGGGGAGTCTGTGTGGAGTTTACATGTTCTCTCCGTGCTGCGTGGGTTTTCTCCAGGTACTCGTTTCCTCCCACAGACCAACAACATGCATGTTGGACTGATGGCAACTGTGAAATGTCCCCAGGTGTGACAGTGAATGGGTCTTGTTGGTGTCCCTGTGATGGACAGGAGACCTGTCTGTCCAGGGTGTCCCCCACCTCTCACAGTGACTGCTGGAAATGGGCACCAGTGGCATCATCAGTGGTTTGTAAGATCCAGATAAATACACAAAAGGTTAAATCAGGTCAGTTTGTCCTCCAGTGTTTTCATGTGTAACCAAGAGCTGCCTGGAAACTTGACCTTTGACCCTTAGACCTGTCAGAGCCGACACCTGGTTTTCAATGAGAATCGTCTTCTGTAGAGAAGTACAGGTTTGATGAACACAGACCTGTCCACGTGTGCACGGGACCACCAGGACAACCGGTCAGGCGTGTGCACGGGA